AATGACCCAATTTCAAATGACCTCAAATGATCATTCAAATTTTGGTGACCAAATGATCGGTCATTAGGTCATTTTACGTATAGTTAGCATCCTACCAATCACGTCGATTATTAATTGACACATGCCATTTGTAAATTCGAAATGAATTTATTTGTAATCGGTAAATTATTATAGTGTTTTTTTCAATTGGATTGTCGCTTTACAACAGGTATGGTAAATGGCTTAATTATTTAGCCAAAATACAAATGCCACTCATTTATCGAATAAAAATTGGTCATTTGACGTGTAATAATATTTATTTGTATGGGTTGTAGTGAATAACCCAGTTACACACGGGTTCATTTCCGTGCCGAAGGAACCCGTGTGTGTAACGGGTTATTCAACATACCCATATGACAATTGTGACAGATTAAAATGAAATCGGATTAAAATGAAATTTTTCAGCAAAATTTTAAAATTTTTTAGGGGACATTTTTTGGGGGTTTTTTTAGCATTAGGGTTATTAATAAACGAGTATACGTGGGTTTTATAAGCTTTAAAGGTGAGCAAGAGAGGTCCCCCAGTTTCATTTTAATCCGATTTGCGACAATAACTATCTTATTGCACAGTAACAATCCCGTGCCAATAAGTAAACGAAAAAGGCACATAAGACCCGTGCAATAAGATGCAGAAAATGGCTAGGTGCTTACATCAGAAATGTTGTTATTGATCATGTTATTAATGATAATCGCTGATTCAGACACCATGTAATGACGTGCCCTTTGACACGTCGTAAGCACAATGTCCTAGTGAATAATCAGTTATCATCAATAACATGATCAATAACAAGTACTTTTTACATCAAATCATAACAGAAATCGCGACTATAAATTCCAACACAACCTTAACTGGATCTCTTGCAGTATAGATGACACTTTTTCTAAATCAACTCAACCATATACTGCGTGTCTTCGCAATAGCAGGTAAGTCTTGTAACAAAATTTTTTACAGCAAATCATGATAAAAATTGCGACTGTTGATTCCAATGCAAACTAATTTAACCTTACCTATATACTGTGCTCTATCATGAAATTTTTCATAATAAATCACAATAGAAATCACGACCATTAATTCCAATACATTCGTATACTGTATGTCTTCGTAATAGTAAGTAAGTCTCGTGTTAAAATTTTTATTTGATTCCAATGCAAATTAATTCAATCTTAACTATATAGTGTGCTAACGCAATAGTCTTAAATTTTTTTAACAAAAATTTTTTACAGTAAATCTTGATAGAAATTCACGACAATTAATTTCAATACAAATCAACTCAATCATATTCTGTGTGTTTTTTGCAATATTAGGTAAATCTTGTACCAAAATTTTTATAGCAAATCAAGATAAAATTCACAACTGTTAATTCTGAGTTTTGCAACCTAGTGAGATCGTTTTGCAGGATGTTTTTCTCTTGGGATCAGGTTTGGGTTCGGGTGGCAATGTCATTTTTTCACATTTGCCTTAACATGATGTTGATACCATGCCTAGATACTGCTTTATGGTATATAGCGAACATACATTACGAATACGGAAAGATTTCGTCCAAAAATCATACCAATAAGGAGCGTGCAGATGGCGTGGGATTTACGAACAACGCTGACAAATTCCGTCAAAGGCTCAAACTAATTTAACCTTACCCATATATTGTGTTCTATCGCAATAGCCTGTAAGTTTTGTAACGAAATTTTTGATGATAAATCACAATAGAAATCACGACCATTAATTCTAATGCAAATCAACTCGATCATATACTGTATGTCTTCACAATAGTAAGTAAGTCTTGTGTCAAAAATTTTTACAACAAATCATGATAGAAATCATGACTATTGATTCCAGTGCAAACTATTTCAATCTTATTAGCTTTATTTATTTGTTAGTTTATTTGTAGGTACTCTCGAAGGCCTTAAACCAATGGTAGCGAAACCCCCTGCAATTTCTTTAAACTACCGGAATATTGACTTTACATCATCGGACGATGATGCCGACAATCGAGAGAACGTGCCAGCGAACAATGTGCCAGTGAACGATGTAGCTGCGAACGATGTGCCAGCGAACGTGCCAGTATGAAGTTTTTTTTTATGTTCTGGGTCGAAATGTGTCGAAAATTAAATTGAATTAGTGGAAACTATTTTCAAATGCACTTAATTAAATTTGGTAATATTCACATTCATTAACTATATAGTGAGTGCTACCGTAATAGTCTACAATTTTTTTTTTGAAGTCACGACCATTAATTACGATACAAATTGTCTCAACCATATACTAGCAGGTAAACCTTGTATTACAACAAATCGTGATAAAAATCGCGACTGTTAATTCCAATGCAAACTAATTTAACCTTACCCATATAGTGCGTTCCATCGCAATAGCCTGTAAATTTTGTAACAAATTTTCACGGTAAATCACAATAGAAATCACGACCGTCAGGTCGATTAACCAATCAGGTAACTATTTAATTTTTTTGGGTTATGATTTCTTAAATTTATTTATTATCATTATAATTTTATTATGGTTCTTTTACGATGACAACTATAACTTCAGTCTCGGTGATTCGTTTATCATTGATAGCAGCGATATGGATGGTTACGACTCTTATGTGCGTAGTAGGGGCACATGAGGAGAATACTTAATGATACACTATTAGAGAGTATAGTTGCGTTAATTCCAATTCAAAATGGGGACCGATACTCAGATCAGTTCTCACGAAATGGGTAAACAAGTTTAAAGATACTTAAAGTTATTTTAAGAATTAAAGTTTAATTTAGTTTATAATGGCTAGTTTTTCTATATAGTATTATAGCTTTATAATAATTATATTTGCCAAACTATATTGTATAAATTATTTGTCTTATTAAGATAAATTAAATATTAATAAATTTTCTAATTCTAATATAATAGGCAATTATACCAATTTTTTTTATTAAGTACACGTAATTAAAAAACTTGTTTAATATATAGTAATAAAATTTTACTTATTTTGAAATTTTTATAAAATTAAATAACTTTTTATGATGTATCTAATGACAAAGTATATAAGCATAAATAAAAATTAGAATTGAGATTAAGTTAGAATCTAGTGTTAGAATAAGAATTAGAGTAAAATTGTAAAAAGAATATTTTTTTTATTGGTATTTAGAGAGATATTGCTATTTTGCAGTTATTTTTTTTAATTAAATTTTTTTATGTTGTATATATTTTTTTTATAAATAAAAAGTGATTAATTATAGTAAATACTATCCTTTAATTGTTAATATGTTTCACGACTATTATAAAAACATGCAGTGTCATATCTCGTTAGAATATTGATTTTTGATAACCTCGAACAATCCAATAGTCAAAATTTTATCACGTAAAAAAATGTTTTTGTTTTTTTACTCGCTGTGATATTCTACTGGTCAGAAAAATAATCTACAGTTTACGTGAACCATGAGTTTAATACAGAATAAAATTAAGTTTAAAATCAAATCATTGAAAATGCACTGTAGTTGATATAAGATGGGAACAATAGGTCATCACATACTAACCTTTCATAACTATTGTTCTGTTTCAATGTAAATAAATTCTATGAACTTTAACATTCGTTTAGGAAGCTATTTAAAATTCACCGTTACAACTTTAGTATTTTAACGGTAACATTTGATTTACTGTAATGCACTGACTAAAAATAATACAATAAAAAACTTACAAAAGACCTGAGTACATTATGCTATAACGGGTCTGTGTCACAACAAAGAAAAAGTTCAAGTATATATCTACTCGTATTTAATCAGTCTAGAAATTAAAAAAAACCCCCCACACACATTTATAAAGAACAGTGTTTTGCGCCAGGATATTTTGCACGGTGATATTGAAAGAGGAGTAGTTTTAGTCAGTGCACTACGGTAAATTTAAAACTATCGAAAAGGTTTAACTACTTACTAATTACATTAGACAAAATGCTTTTCCGATTATTAATTGTTTAAGGTTGCGTTTTGTATAGTTAATTCATTTGGGCGAAAAATTCTTAGTCATTCTCAAGGTGTTATCAATTCTACGATGGCCAGTCATTCGCTTGAATTTAATAATAATGAACGATTGGTCATCGTGTAGCAACAATCCTAAAGAATGACTGATCCGTTTCTGTTAATTTTAAGTATTAAATGAAATTCTACATATTCTATGATTTATATGAGTCATTAAAGGCACATAATAGTCCAACGGTCATTCTCGAATCACTAAAGTATATTTTTTTGCGATCACTGTATACTGTATTCACACAGTTTATGATACAAGAAATTCCCTAAATATATTAACTAAAAACTGAATTAATTGCTAAACAACTTTTCATGACATTATTAAGCAATTTAAAGACCTATCTAGTAGGAAACCCATCAATTCTTAATCTTCCTTCAAATATCCCAACTCTTTCAAAAATTCTTTAGTTTTTTCTGGAGGGCGAGCAATAATAGCTTTACCTTTATCCCAATCCACCAATATAGGCCTTTGCAATTTCAAAGGCTGTTGTTTAATTACTTCTGTCAATTCATTAACATTATGAGCTGTCTTCATTGTTTCTTGAATACCTTCTTCACTTGCTACCGTCGAAGTATCGTCTCGAAGAATTCGATTTAAGTCATGTTCAATACCAAGATATTGAACAATATTGCTTAATTGATCTTTTGTTGGTGGCTGTTTTTGATAATCAAGAACGTCAAGTTTGAATATACCTGGCTGTTTTTTTAAAGCTTCATGAAGAATTGAAAGTGCTACATTTGACTTGCTACAGGATGGGTTATATATGAGCGTGACGATCGGTTGTGTAAATGGCATGCGGAAAGACATTTTTTTTGGAGTGAATACCATGTACGTACGTACACAAAATACCATATTTTGGTGATCATGTGAAAGATGTATACGTAAAGGTCACAAGATACATATTCAAAATAATTATTCAATGCATTTTTTTTTCCTAAATAGCAATCACAGCTCCCGTAGCAAAGTGGCAATGCGTCGTGCTTATAGGTAGTACCCTATACTTGAGCAACGCGAAGGTCGCGAGTTCGATCCTCGCCGGGAGCAAAGAGTTAATTTTTTTTTTTCCTCATAAGCTTGAAACAATATTTTTGTCGCATATATATATATATTTGGGTCGTTAAATAAGGTTGTGTTACGTAATTACATATCGATGACATTTTTGATATTTATTCGTTTGTTACATGTAACCATATAAACGTACTGCTGTACTGTAACTCCATCAGCACCGTCCTCATCTCGCATTTGCGCAAAATAACATCACGAGACATTATTTTGAGATACGATTTAAACAAGCTAATAATTAATAATTTAATCAAATGCGGTAAATGCCGGTCCATATTTTAAGGCTAAATTACTATTACTGCAAATTTTCGAAATAACGGGCATGGGCATTATTTCGAATTTTGGCCCGAATTAAGCTTAATTCGGGCAAAATTCGAAATAATGCTCATGCCCGTTATTTCGAGAATTTACGATAGTCTTTTTAACCTCAACGAAAGTTAGAGAGAGTACTTATTCATTGAGGTTCATGCAGACTTTTTTTCAATATTTTTAACCCAATTTCGCCAACAGCTATTTCGTCGATAAATGGTTCGATTAGGATTAGAGTTGACTTGCTATAGTTAGTTAGCGTTGGCTACAGGTAGATCGTCGGCGAATCCACCAAGTTAGCGCTGGCTAGAAAGCTCTTTTAATTCAAAAAAAATAAAATAAAAAATACAATATTAAACTTTATATTAATAATTTTATTTATAATACAAATTTTGAAAGTTTTATAATAATTAATTAAATTTATAATATTTGACAAATAAGCTTTTAAAAATAATTTTAACTATTTAAAAAATTTATTTAGTAGCAATTAGTAGTGAATTTTTGCTAGTAATTGTTCTTGTATATTTATAAATAATGTAAAAAATCAACACAATTTTTAAAACAAAATTAATTTTTTTATATTTAAAATTAAAATAAGGTTTAGAACAAACCAAAAACTTAGTTTAGACCATATAAAAATTTTTTGGTTCTCATAACCATGAGACAAAAAAAATTACCTGGCCGGCCGAACTTTTATTTAAAAATTTTATATATAAAATTTTATAAAATTTTTAAAAAAATTTTTTTGAAATCCCACCCGACTATTAAAACATATAAAAAATTTTTTTCAAAAAATTTCCAAAATATGACCCGGCCAGATTATGAGATCCAAAAAATTAACTTTATATGACCTTATAGTAAAATTTAGCAATAAAATTTTTTTGCTAAAATACTACTATAAAAGTAATTTTATAAATAAAATTTTAAGTTAGGCCACGCACATAAATAAAATTGGTTCTCATAACCCGGCCGGGTGAATTTTTTTAAAAAAGTCAAATGTTATTTTATATTAATAATATATATAGTTTTTAAGATTACTATACATATTTTTGTATAAAGAGGTTTTAGTATTTAAAAAATTTATTTAGATTATAACAATAACATCCGGGTGGTCTTAAGATGTTATGAGAACCAATTAATTTTATTTGCATGGGCTAACTAGTATTTTTGAATTAAAATTACTATTAAAGCTTCCAAAACCAATTCTTTTAAAATTAGTTTTGAAAGGTTTGATAATATTTGTTTTTTTAGTTTATTAAAACTCATACTATAACAGTCATAGGACATGTCCTAACTAAGTGCTGTTACTTATAAATCAAATGAGTTGACTCACCTAATTTATATATAAATTTATACAAAATTTTCATTTAAATTAAATTTATTTAAAAATATATATAAACCTTTTCTTTAAATTTTAAATATCTTTAATTTAAAGTTTTAGTTCTTGGCTTTAATTTGTTCAAAAAGATTCTTTACTATGTTCTTTGGAGTTCCCAATTTATCATGTCCTATATATATATATAGTTTTTAATAATATTTTAATATTTACTAGTCTGATTTGGATGATCTAACTACTGTTAGTTGCATCTTAATAAATTCTACAACTTTTAATTAATTAATAAGTATTGTTAATTTAGTAAATATATTTTAAATATAAGCATATTACATTTTGTTTATAGTAATTTTTATATATAATTTGTGTTATATTATAACTATAATTACTATCCAGATAAATAGTAGATTATCAATTTAACTAGCAATCCTGCCTTTATTATATATAAATTAAGTCTTAACTACTACAAAGTATACATAGACTAACTGCTAATAATCCTTCACTAAGACTTATATAGATACCAAAGTACCTATATACAATCTGCTACAATAACTATTTGTCTTTCTATAAAGTTTTTTACTTTACTAAAAATTACTTTAAGTTCACTAACTAGTAGTTGTTAGTTTTGTTAAAATTGCTAACTTTTTCTTAATCTTTTTTATCTAGCCCCTAAAATAAGTAATGCTTAGATCCATATCTATATAAACAAAAAGTATTTACAAAGATAAAAGAGAAATTAACAAAAAGAGTACTGTATTACTACAAATCCTAAATAATATTCAAAAACATAACAAAATAAAATATCAATTAAATTTTTTTTAAAAAATTTTAAATATTAATTTTATAATAAATTTTCTTTTATAATAGATTTTCTAAGTAAAATATTTAATTTTAAATCTATTTTATTAACTTTGTTAAAAAAATTTCTTAAATTTATTAAAAAATTTTAGTATAATAAAAGGTTAAAATATATATATTAAAACTATTACTTCTTTAAATTTTTCTAAATTTTATATGTTTTTGTTTATAAAAAAAATATATAGATTTTAGAATTTGATGCACCCTGCACTATAGTGCACCATAGTAACAAATATAAATAATAATTAGAGTTAGAGTTAGAGTTAAATTAAAATTAAAAATTAGTACAAAATTGTAAAAGGATCATTTTTTGTTAAAAATGCAGCAGAAGTTATTCTAGTAAAATTTTGAGAAACGTAAAAAAGGATATACTACAGTGCAGGTTACTATATTCTATAATTCAAAAAATATTTACTTTTAATACAAGTTTTAATTTTTACAAGTAAATTACTGAAAGTGCATAATAAAAGTTGTAATTCTTTATATAAACTACAATATTATATTAAAAAATATTTTTAAAACCAATATTTAAAAAATTCACCAAGATATTGTAAATTATTTTTTAGTTAAAAATTTTTTTAAATTTAATATTTTTAGTTTATAAGCAATATAAACTTTTTGTCTTATAATATAAATACAAATAATACAAAAATATAAATATTTTAAATAATTAAAAAAATAAATTAGGAATATATTTATAGTAAAAAAAGTGTCAAATATTAAGTGATTTTCTAAAGAAGAGGAGTTAAAATTTTGAAAATTATATATAAAGATCTAACAACTTTTATATATAAAAGTAGAAAGAGAAATAGGCCTCTGATAAAAAAAATCAGATAATAAATAATATGGCCCTAATTATACAGACAAATTTGTTTGCAAATTTTTACAATTAAAGAATAGAATTTACCATATGTTGCTAAAAATAAGCTACTTTTTTTGGTCAAAAAGTTATATAAAAAAACAGAATACTTATTTAAATTGTTGGATTTTTTAAAAAAATTAAAAAACATACTAATAAAAAGTTATCCAAATAGTACTAATCTTTTATTATAAATGTATTTTGATATTTTAAACAACTTTACTTAATAATACTTTTGAGGTTTACTTAGTAAAATTTAGACTTTTATATATAGCAACTGCTAGCAGATTTTTTAAAATTTTTAAAAAAAATCAGATGGTAGCTTATTTTTAAAAATAGTAGAATATACAGTAAATTTTTATTAGATTCTAATATACTAGTACAGTATTAGTATATATGATATTTTGTTTTTTATTATTTGCAATAAATAGTTTATTACAATTTTTTGAAATACAAAAATATATGTTTATATTCTAATTTTAGAAGAAGTATTTTGTTGTTTAAGTATTTAATTTGACTTATTGATACTTGTTTATATTTAATAATTATTAAAAAACCAGTAATATTCTTTTTTGATTTAGTTTTTATACTTTTAAAAATTTTATTACCTGGCTTTTTTCTAGTATACTAACCTCTTCTTTAATTTCATTTGTTTAATATTATAAGGTTTTTTTTGTTTTGTCAAATTTATTATTACTAAATTTGATTTTTATAAATTAATTTTTATATTATTTAGTTTATAAAATTTTTGAGCTTTATTTATAATTTTTTATATATAGTATTTATTTAAAGCTAACTAAGAATAAAATTTTAATTTTTTATAATTTTTTGAATATTTTCTTTAAATTTATAAACCATTCTATTGTATTTTGTATTTTTATTTTTTTTTAAATTATAAAAATAATAGATTATAAAAAAATTTTTAAATCAAAAAAAAATTTTTTGTTTATTAAATCTAATTTTATTATAACTTTAATCTGTTTTTCTTATAAATTTCTATAATAAACTTTTTTTACTTTTTCTAAAATTTGATTACTTTTTTAAGACCAAGTAAACCTATCAAGTTAAAAACTTTTTTAATATTTTAAAGTAATATATACATTTTTTTGTATTTTATTAAATTATATATAATATAAATTAAAGTATTAGTACTTTTTTTTGAAAGTTTATAAAATTTAATTTTTTAAAAATTTATTTTTTATTAAAAATTCTATTTAATCTTTTTATATTATTTATACTAAGTACTTTTAAAAAGTTTTTATTAGTATAATTGGGTATATACTAGCAAAAAAATAATTCTATTCTGTTCTTTTTAATATAAAAAAATTTAATTCACTTTTTACTTCTTTAAAAATATTAATGTTTTAATATTAAGTTTTATTGGATTAATAAATATTTTTTTTGATATACAGTGCAGACAATCTAGTTCCAACTAATAAAATTGATAATATTCAAATTGCTAATTCTTTTTTAAAAAAAAATAGTATCCAAAAAATACTATCTTAAATTATTAAATCAAAACAAGCTAAATATTTCTACATTTTTAAATTTTTTTATATCTATTTATAAAAAAGTTACAGCATGTTAAAGTTATAGTATTTTTATAATTAAATATAAAATTTT